AATTTGAATTTTGAATTTGAATTTGAAATTTGAATTTGAATTTAGAATTTAAATGTTTGAACGTTTGAATTTAAATGTTTGAATTTGAATTTGAATTGGCTATGAAAAGTTGTTTCATAACAAAAGGATAAGTTGAGATCTTGTTGGAACAAATCCCTTGTATCAAGAGAAGATCTATGGAGATCTCCAAGGGCTGATTTGGGGCGCCATTTTGGTGGGAGATGATTGTCATCTTGTCAAACCAACAAGCTCCAATCAGATTTGGTTGTTGAGAGAATCAGTGAGCTAGTTGGTTCAAACTTGAATGCAACAACTCAAATGTATCTGGACCCTTTTTGGGCTGAATAGGGGCGCATGAATTGGTGGTCATATGATGACCATTGGTTCAGAATTTTAACTAGATAAAGACATAGTCTTATGAGGATTCAAAGGGGAGCTTGTTGAGATTTTTGAATTGCAACAACTCCACCTTTGTCTCACTCACTTGTGCGCCACTTTCATTATAAGTAAAGTAAAAATTCTAATTTGATACACTAATTCTCTCCCTCTCTTGTGCGCCTAGTTGGTGAGTTCCTCCTTAAGGTTTTTGAAAAGAACCTAGCCAATTCTTCTATATACCATTCCCACTCTTGTGAAGTTTTCATGCTGGAGACTTCACTCTTCTAAACACATATACCTAACTTCTTTCTTCACTTATTGAGCGCATAGCAAGCCTCTCTGTGGTGGTCAATTGGTAGCTTTCAAGAAAGCGTTCTTGCATCTTGACGTGGGTGGTGTGGATCAACGTTAGAGGGTTTGAACCCTTCAAACCTAACACTGATCGTCTTGGAGTTTTGAACTCACAAACAAAGGTAACTTCACATGCCATAAAAGCATGAATCTTGATTGCATGTGTAATTCCGCATATGAAAAATTTTGTTTTTCTCTCTCACATGCTACGACATTCAAGGCCATTTTACTTTCAATAAACCATTGAGAGAGTTTTCACATATTTCGGAGACCATTCACAAACACTTGAAAGATTCTTATATGCTTCATACTCTACACCACTACATTTACATGAAGTCATAAGATCGTGTTAATTAAATATTATTTTTAACTAGTGCCATAGAATCCAGTTAATAATACAGCTTATTAGCCCCATTTCAGTTAGCTGCAAAAGGGCATCAAAGCAAAGGAATTAAAAGAGGAAAACATTTAAGTATGGATGAAAATTGCACGAAAGTTGATGTATTTCTTTTTTTGGTAAATAAGGAGGGCCTAAAGACCCCAAACACAAACTCAGTTTGTAAACATCCTGCGAGAATTACAAACCAAAGAAAAATCAGTCACATACAATGGCAAAATCCCACGAGGAGAGGAATAAAAAAAACTAAAATTATTCTCCAATGGGTGATCCAATGGATATTTAGACAGCCAGTCCGTACAACCATTACTCTCCCTAAAAACATGAACCAGTTGAACCTCCCAATCCCTTTGTAACCATGCTCGAATGTGAGTCACCAAACGGGACTCTCGAGCTGCTCCTTGTAAGAACCCGCACCGTTAATTAAGGAATTTAATTAAATAATTATGAGATTAAAGAGATAATTCCATAATTGACCTTAATAATTATGAGAAGGCTTAAATAATCATAGAAAGTAATTAATAATGCTGAAAGTCGCTTTTCTGACGAAAAGTGCAGATATCGGTTCTGCTCCACGGTATAAATGCGTACCGATGAAGTATCCCAGAAAATTATTATATCTGCATGAATATTCCTAAAATAATATTTAGGACTGGAATCCTAAGTTTGAAGTTAAAATAATGAGAACTGGTGTCAGAACTGATATTGGCTAAGTAAAAGCGCGTACCGGAAAGGTGCTGCGAAAAATAATATAAAAATATGACAAATCCTAGAATAATGGCTAGGTTCAGAATCTAAAGTTTGAGATTAAAATGCTAAGCGTAGCTATTAGCGCTAATACAGTGCGATTAATACTTAAGTGGGCTATATAAGGCTTGGCACTAAACCCTAAGTTGATTGTGTGCCATTTGCTACGTGAGTTTCTGAGTTTCTCTTTCAGCCTTGAGCCTCCACTGTTCTATTTCTCCTTTTCTTGAGAAACTCTCCAAAGAAACCATTTTTATTCCTTGTTTCTATACCAAATCACCTTGTGTGAGTAAGGGCTGGCCTTGGTTGTGAGTAGGGAACCTTTTTCTGAGTTTAGTTTCAGAATTTGTGAGGCTTAAGGGGATGTGACATGAGAACTTATATTGAATGATTTAGAACTGATATTGAATGTTGTTTTAGAACTTATATTGCATATGTAAGTAAACAATATTCTCTTTAATCCTCCCCCCCCCCAAAAAAAAGAAAAGAAGAAAAACTCATTTTTATTGCCTCCTTGCTGATCTATTCTGACCCAAGAAAAGAATAATAGTATCCTCGTCGAAGGACCACGAAGATTTGAAAATACGGACATTTATTTACCCAAAAAAAAAAGAAAATACGGACATTTTTGGGATGCCATAAAACATGCAAACCACAAAAAAAAACCAAACTCCATTCGGACCATGGTAGTTAAAATCAGGATTTAAATCTTAAAATCTCGATTTTAACGATTTATTTTTGCTAAAACGATTTAAATTTCACTTAAAATTGTTTCCAATATAAAATCCCGATTTAGACATTTACTGAAGTCCTGATTTTAAGATTTAAATCTCGATTTTAACTATTGGAATGATGTTAAGCAAGTTAGAAAAATTGTTGAATATAACATTGCTGATGTTTCATCCGAAGATGAATGGATTGTGAAAAATGAAGGAACTTTATCTCATGATGAAAGTTTAGATGAAGACAATTTTGAATGATGTAGTTGAAGATCACGTGGAACAAAATGTCTTCGATGATAATAACTTGAATGATTTATTAGCTTAGACTTTTAGAGTGTGACAATTGTATGCAAATGTATAAGGATGGTGGCAGGTAGTCTATTTTTCTTAATTTTTTTTTATACATAAGTATATGTATATAAAAATTTAATTTTAGAGTGCAGGTAAAATCTACAATTTGTATTACGATTTTACGATTTACGATTTTTTATTCCTTTCCCGATTTTAGGTAAAATCCTGATTTTGACTACTTTGATTCGGACTTCTAATCATGATTTTTCTTAAAAGTGTTATCCCATATTTGTTTTTCTATTGGCATTAACATAAGGAAAATAATTTTGTAATTTTTCATTGCCTTAACTTTTCAAATAATGGAATAAAAACTTTCTCCACTTCTAAACAAGGGTGTTCATCAACCGATTCAAGCTGCGGTAATTGAACCGCAAAATCGAAAATTGAAAAAAAAGCACATATTTTAATTGAATTGGATCGATTTTCTATTTGGTGGGTGAAAACTGATTTAAAGTATCATGTATTTATTATTTTTAAAACTTCGTTAATTACTCTATTTAGTTTTTTTATTATTTATTACTCTATTTTAACTCTTCATGAGTTTTAAGACTTGTTTTAGTTCGAAGACTTGAATTTTTCAGTGGTTTGTAACTTTGTATGACTTCATTTTGATATAGCTAGTGATTTGGAAGGATGAAATTTTAGGCTTTTCAAAAAATCCAAAACCGATCCATTCCAAACTGAATAAAATTTGATTTTGATTGGATCAGATTTGAAAAAAAAATTAAACCGAAATAATTGGATTAGATGATTCTTGCTCTAAAACCGATTCAATCTAGACCACAAATACTCATACCAAAAAATGGGCAAGCCTGCCCTACCTTGCTTTTAAAGGTGGATTAAAAAATCTGGCTAGTCCCATTTGGCGGGTGGGGTGGACGGCCCATGGGTCGAGCCCGTTTTGCCTTTAAAAAAAAAGGGTTAGGCATTGGTTGGCGGGGTATAAAACACAACCCGCCTTATCGCTTTTGGCTGGTGCTCGACCCAACTAATTTTGTCACCTCTAGACTTAGGTTAGTCATTAGGATGGAAGATTTGATGAGTGGCACATAATTCATGGATGATAGGTGAAATGGGTGATTTAATTATTGGTAGAATTTAAGTGGATATACTATGTACTGAAAATTTATCCCGTAAGTAACTTTGTGGCAATGTTATCAAATTTAAATTGGTTATTAACTCTCGGCCAAGTTACTCAAATAATGAATTACTGGTTAAATTAAATTCATATAATAATATATAATAAATAAAATTAAGAAATTATAACTAATAAATAAAGTTAATCTAACACTAAGCTTTTCAAATATCTAATCATGCGTCCCAATTTGGATGCCAGGTACCTCCAAAGCTAGGACATACACTTTTTTTTAATTTGTGCGTGTCGGATACTGACATGCTCCGACACGTGGTCAATATTTTGAGATACACGATCAACGCTCCGACATGTTCTGATACATTTTTTTGATATGCAGTCAACTTTTTTCGACACACGATCAAGACACATTTCTGATATATTTTTTTTAGGTCTAAATTTTATTTATTTATTTTTTGGTATTCTATTTTATTTTATTAATTAAACATAAAAAAATAATTTGTAAATCAATTTTTTCTATTATGAAATTTGATATGAAAAATTAACAAAGTACGAAAATTTTTTTTTGTTTATATTTATGTTATGAAATTTGAATATATATATTAAAATTATTATTTAATATCAAAACGTGTCTTAATACGTCAAAATATGATATTTTTAAAATTAATATGTCGACATATCATATGTCCCGTGTTAGTGTCGGTGTCTCGTAAGAGGTACTAAGATTCTCCATCCCATCACACATGAAATTGTGAGAGGATCACTTCGAAATATTTATAAAAATAAAGGGGAATGCATCGCTACTGTGACAGGAAAAAAAATAATCTTCCAGCAGAGACAGTTTTTTGTGGGCCCCATCTATTACTTCTTCTCTCTCGTTGAATCATTTTTTTGTCCTAAAATATTGTATTCTTTTGTTTTCTACAACAGCAGAAATGCATTCCCCAAAAATAAAAGCATATTCAAACTCCTAAGACAAGTCAAGTCAATAAAATCTGAGCCTCGAAAACAAGAGACTGAAATTGGCTTCTCTTGCGGACAGAACAGATTAACGTTCACATAGACATGAAGTCTTATTGCTTCTTATGTTTCCACTCCGCATGTTTTCTTCTCCTCGCTTCCATCGCATGTTGCCTTTCACACCCTTCTCTTCTCGGCGTTCACCCTTTAGGTACTTCACCACGATGTACCCCTTTTGCTTGAAACACATAAAGCTTGATACTTTTCTCAAGTGGGTGTGCAACCCACAAACCATTTTTCTGTTATTTGTAACTTTCTTATTTTGGTGAAACTTGAATTGGGTTTTTGTGTTGCAGATGAGAAATATTACAGCTCTGAAGTCATCAAGTGCAAGGATGGATCAAAATCCTTCTTAAGAGACCGTCTCAATGACAATTTCTGTGACTGCCCTGATGGCACTGATGAACCTGGTATGGCAGATGATGAAATTATGATTGTGTTATTCCCTATTTGCAGCCCCATTATAATTTTAACATTCAGGGAACATTGAAAATTTGGCAAGAAAAATCCTTGTTTACCTTAAAAAACATTTTTTTTAAAAAATTATTTTTAAGTCATTGGCTTTCAGACTTTAATCTTATGCAAAATGTTGATAGTTTGGTTGATTTATTTAGCTTTCAAAGTCATAGTTTTCTTACCTTTTCATGCATACACACTTACACATAGATAAGCATGCAGATGCTTCTTTGTTTCAAAATCATGAGGTGGATTTTCATACCATTTATAATTTGTTAGGAGGTTGTTGTTCATTTAACTACAGGAACTTCAGCTTGCCCGGCAGGAAAGTTTTATTGCAGAAACCTAGGGAGCAAGCCACAGTTTATAGTTTCTTCTCATGTTAATGATCATTTTTGTGGTAAGCATTTTTTCCTGTTTTTATACCTGGCTTTCCTTTTTCCTGTTTATCTTTGTTGAGTTTCTTCTTCAGGTCTGTTTGTTAAAGCACTTTACACATGTCTATGATGGCATTTTGCCAACTCAAAGGAATGGACTAGAGATCTTATGACCTAAAGGCATTATGTTTTTGAAAATGATGGATACTCAATGTCTCCCTTTGAAATTGTCTGGACAGTGACTTGCATAACACATTTCTTAATCTCCATATTTTCCTCTGCAAATGGAAATATTTAGAGATGGAACTATCTGGCCTATGTAAATAACTAAAATGTTGATTTACTTTTGTTGGATTGTTTCTCACTGTTCTTGACCTGTTTTGAACTCATTACTACCTGAAAGTTCCATTGCAACTGACCCAGTTTAACATTTAACATAATCAATCTACTTTCACATAAGTAATTTGGCAATTAAGTTTACTTTTCCATGGGATCTATGTATTTAGGATTTTCCATCTGCCTTCAACTTTGAATTCCAATTTTCATTTGATGTTGCTGCAGATTGTTGTGATGGGAGCGATGAATATGATGGAATCATTCATTGCCCCAACACATGTGTCATGGGTGGGAATGTTGAGTACATTATTGGCAATTACAATTCAAAAGTAAGTGATCTGAGTTTTATTGCTGAAAAAGAGGCCAATAATGGAGTGAAATCAGAGGAATCAGTTCATAGTTTTACTGGTAACTTCTTATCCAAGAATTTTTTCATGTGTTTGAAAACTCATCGTTAATATAATTGAAACTTTCTGGCCTAGGTTTGAAGTTGGCAATTATTCTACAAGTGGTTCTGGTTATTTTTCTGGTGTTTATCTGGAGTTTCCGTTGCCACAAAAGATCTAGAAGGAGGCGTTACCATTAAATTGAAAGAACCTTGCTGTTTTACCTGATATTTAACTGTGGTAATATTTTTAAATATTGTTCATTTTCCCTTTCTTAGTTCTGCCAGATTTTGATTTCCTATACTTCTCAGTCAGTTGATGTCTGATAAGTTAAGAACTTTCCATTGTTTTTTAAGGAAAAACCGAAAGAGAGATAACAAGAAGAAAGAGATAAGAAAAGCATCATGGAATCTATCACTTATGGAATTTGCTGCCATGCAGGAAAGATGGGCAAAACACCATATCTTGCGGGGTGTACAACTTTAACATATAAAGACTTTTTTCCAAATATACTTTTCAATTTGATTGGTGATCCCCATATTGTTGAGCCTCTAGGATTAAGTTGAAGAGTGTAGATAAATATTCTTTTTCTGTAATATCATGCTTCCCTTTTACCACGGTAACTATTTATGGTTGCTGTTGAAAATATTGTAAATATGTTGATTTCTGTAATATCATGCTTCCCTTTTTGTTTCTTTTTACCCACTGATCTGTTATTTTCTTAAACTTTCATCATCAAAATACATGGGAACCCATAATGAATGGTTCTATATGTGCTTACTATAATTCAACTAGATATCGGTTTTCTTGTTATGGTGGATTTAAATTAAAAGTTAATCTTTGTGTGATAAGGCTAGCATAACAAGCATGCTTATCTATTACTTGTTAATGTGGGAACCTTGGATACATGTACTGAGTATCACTACATGCACGTGCTTGGTTTCTATTTACTATGAACACGTGACTAATTAGTTTGGAGTACTGTATTTCAATGTTAAGAGGAGAACTATATTAATTCCATTCACAGATAATTGCATATTTTGCATCGTAATGTTTAAATGTAATTATATGTTTGTTATTGTCAAATTAAACGTGAGTACTGTACATTTCTGTGCAGATATCCCGACTTTTGTAATTAACGTGCCATATGAGTTGTCACATTTTTTTGATTTTATAATTATGTGATAGTTTTTGAGCGTTGGTAATACGTAGTTAATATTTACTTGTGGTATGTAAAGGTGCCAACTTGTATAACACGATGGAGAAAAAAGGCGATATTTTACCAATGCTTGACAACATCTTTTGCACTCTTTCTTTCATTTCATTTATACTGTCTCTATGGATGCCATTTGTATCCTTCAAGCTGTTTGCCCATATTGATCAATATAAGTATCTTTCTGACAAACCTCTATGCGATGGTACTATATTAATTTATCAATAGTGATGATTAGATGAACAATGCACTACACATTTCTTCCTCATTTCTGCTCTTTTTTGAACCAGTGTCCTTCAATTTGTCCATTGTCATCATTACAAAACCTTGAGCGGGCTGTTAGAGCTCAAGTAGATGCAGAAACCTATGACAAAATTCTTGACATTTTCATTTCCTTCGAGTCCTGTCTAAGTTCAAAATTCAAATGCTTTTTCTTTCTTCATTTTCCCATAACTCAAGATTGCTAATTATTTATGAAATGCTGCAATGTTTAATACCTCTCAGATCTCACATTCTCACTCTTAAGTCCCACTTAGTCCATTCCTACCTACTTTCTTACACCCTCCAAAGCTCCCATCCCCTCCCTCTTGCTCTTTCTATACTACAACGCACCCTATGTTCTGGTTGCACTCCAGTTCCTCAAACCCATTCTCTCATCTGCTTGGTTGGAGTGGCAATGCATCTCTCATTCTGTATCTAATATTTTACTTGAGATGCAATCAATTGGATATCATCTTGACTCTGGGATTTATAATTTATCTACTACCATCTCTTTGTACTGTTGATAAGTTGGTGGATGCAGTTATAGTCCGGTAAGGCATGGGTAGGGCAGGATGTGTTCCTGATCTAGAGAGTTATAGCATTGTTATTGGTGCAATGTGCAGATTCAGAAAGACTTTCCAAGGCAGCACCACAATCAAATAGGGAGATACAGAAAGATGTTTAGATGATTCATTTCCTTTGAGACAGAGAGTTACCTGTTGAATTTGAGAGTTACTAGGTGGTAACTGGTACCTGGAGAAAGTTGAGTATGTTTTTGGCTGGAAAAGTCACAGTGGGGATGACAGAGAGAGGTTTTGTACTGTATTTCCGGGTTAGGCAGAAGATAATTTGAGCAGTACTGGTGATTGGAAGATGGCTCGTACCGTGAGACAGATTTTCAATATAGCACCTAAATCGTAGCTGTTAAATTATTTAGAGTGGAGCAAGTACAGTTGGCTAGTACATATTGCTAAGGCTTTGTGGCATCTGAATTTTGGTGTCATCATTCTTTTCTCATTTTGTAGGATGATCTTGCACTTTGAGGCAGAGAAATGTGACACTCAGATCTTGGATTTGCCAAATATTTGGTTGTGTGATCTATGAAGTTTGAGCATATATAATGGAAATGGATAGCATTTTACTAAGTAATTAATTTTCCTCCTTATCCTGACTATAATGGTGCTAGTTATTTTGTGCGATGACAAAGAGAATAGGGCTGCTAATTGTTGTTTGTAAAACAAAAAAAAATGAAAAATAAAAATGTGACGGCAATTTGAAGTAACTTCATGTATATCAAATGCCTTATATTATTAATTGGTGGGAAATATTATGTAATTTATGCTCTTTGGTGTACCAACTTCCTGTCATCTTTTTGTTTATGCATAGTGATTACTGATCAATGCATGATTGGTATGTGGTTATTAACCTTTTATTTGACTTAACTTTTGTTCCGTTCGCCTGAAAATACTTTATCAACATATGCTCATCACTCAAATTGAAGAAAAGATAGGAGGCGGGGGCAGGGATGTAGTCCATCTCTTCTGTTTTGCTAATTATTACTTTTAATGTATCTAGTTCATATAGAATTAATTAACTCATCGAATTAATTACATTATAAGAGTGTTACTCTTGTGTTTAACTTGTAATTGATGTGGCTGGAATAGGTTCATCATTATTTTCTGCCTATTGAATATTTTTCAGGCTCATTTGGCAACTGATAAGGTATATATTATAGAACTAGCTTAACGTTTTTCCTTTTGTTACTAATTTGTGGTCTATAAAAATTTCTATCCTTGAATCCAATGGTTGCAGTGCCATAGTTGAACTTTTCATGAAATTATTACTGTAAGTGAATTTCTTGTGGTGACATCTTTCATTCTACAACCACTCTTTGCTTAATTTTTGACAGGATAGCTGGCATCCATGGCAATGCCACAAGTACCATCTTTATCAAAAGTCTCACGCTTCATCCTAATATAGCCAGATTCACCCCAGTCAGCACCCCATGAATTCTTCACAAGCCAGTATTTGTCACCATTTTGTTCTCCATAACCAACAATAGTTACACCATGATTGAGTTGCTTTCCACAAAAGCCAGAGAAAACACCTTGTGAATAAAGTTGAAATAGTAAACCTCCAGCATCAATTGCAACGGAGACAGGTTGATTAGCAACGGCAGCTTTAAGCACAGTCTCATTATTAGCAGGTACATTTTCATAGCCACTTATATTGACAGCATGATTTCCAGCTTTTTTCATGTCACAGGTGCCATCTATTCCTTGATAAGGATAGTCTTTTGTAGTGGTTAACCCACCATTATTTGTTATGAATGTAAATGCTGTCTCCATTAAACCACCTTCGCAGCCTTGGTTACCATTTTTAACATCACAGTCTACAAGTTCTTGTTCAGACAGAGAAACCAAATTTCCTGATTTGATTTTGTTGATTCCTTCCACAGCTGCCACTGCAGAGAATGCCCAACAACTTCCTGCATGAAGACATAACTTCAAATAAGTTTAAACATGATCTCAGCAACGTAACTCAGCATTACTATTGTTAGAATGTTCCTTAAGTTGTATTAAATTCCAAAACAAAATGATGTGCTACTTTTTTAGAAAAAGTGAGTTAATGATTAAGCTATGTCCCTTTATTTATTTATTTTTTGTAAAAAAAATGTTTAGTAGCAGCTGAACTACATATATGTTAAATTGAAAACCATAACTTGGCGCCTCTATACCATGAACTTTTGTTTCAAGAAACTTTACCACAATGGCCTTGATCCTTGATGTCAGTTACTGCACCTTCCTTCCTCCAATCCTTGCTTTGTGGAAGATCTCCTTGTTCATGATACCTGAATCCTGTATGTGAAAGCAACCTGGTTCCAAAACCCATATAGATATTTTTAAACTCTTCATTTGTAAGATCTGCAAATTTGTTGTCAGTGAGATTGTAGGAGTGGTTTTGAGAGTTGTAGCACTCTATAATCTGAACATTTGCTTGGTAAATGCCAAAACGGACTTCCCATTCTTCACTATCCTTGTATTGTCTGTCATTTTGTTTCAACCAACTTTCAAACCTCTTCCTCATGACTTCTGGGTGATGAGATGAATCATTCTTATGCATTGTAGGGCATTCACTTGCACTTATCCATAGATTGCACACGATGAGAAGATTGAAGATAGCATAGGTTAATGTTGTAGCTGTCATCATGGCTAGTTCTCAATGCAAATGGAGAATGGGAGCATGCATTGATATTTATCATAAACAAACATGCTTATATTCTTTTATGTCATGTTTGTTTTCTTTACGCATTTCAATTCATGTCCGCTTCTGTTTAGAGGCGTTTCAATTACATAAATATCTTCTTGTGTCCATGTTTTTGGTGCTTGCGAGTTTTAACAAGGCAAGGCTTTTATTTTACACTTCATCTTCTCTGCATGACCTTTTTAAAACGTGTTACGTAAAGGTTATGTGATGCTTTAGGTTTTACAACCCAAGACATTTGATATATGATACATTTGAAGGTTGGATATGTTACATGGCGAAGGGGAGCACATGGCGGGTTGAGTATTTGAGATACTTGAGAGAATTTCGTCCATGGAGAGCATACTAAGATGAGGTTTCATACTTGATGGAGAGATTGTTGAAAATATTTGTTAGAAATATTGTGATCAATCACACAAAATTGAAAAAGAAAATAATAAAAGAGAGAAAATGACACATTTACTTTGGTTTACCCTAATATTGGATTACCTAAAACAATACGTTTTGCAATATATTTTCATTATACAATCATTGAGTTACAAAAGAATATAAATATGCTTGAAAACCTAAATTGCGACAATTATTTTTGAGTCCAAGTCCAAAATATCAAAAAAATCCTAAAGCCTAAAATAAGGTAAGGTCACTACAATCACAAGGGCATTGCCCTTGCATCCCCATTTGGGTGGCTCCCCGGAGCACGACTCGCTCACCAAGAAGTGAGACTACAATGTGTGTTGAGGAAATGTGTATCTTCAATGTGTTCGAATCTCTCCAATATCATCTTTGGGAGGAGTTTAAAGTCTTAATCCTGGACCCGTCCCGAATCGGATTAGTTGCGAAGCAATGAATCGATTGGAGTATTTCCAAAAAAAAAAAGTGTGTCCTCAACTAAATGTGAAGTGTAAATTCTGCCTAACAAGGCAGGTTTTGTCATCAATTTAGGAAGTTTGAATTGGTATGGGAAGTTTATTCTTTCCTATAATGAAGTTTACTTTTTCTAAATGTTCAACCAATGACTTCCTTAATTTTGTCCAAAATACATGAATGAGATAATATCACCACATGAGACAGGAGTGACGGACCCATCCAACATCCTCATCTATGAGAAGCGAGTGCCTTAATTTGAGAGGTCTCTGCGCTATACTCTTGAACTGACAGCCATCATGATTCATGAAGTTATGCAAAGACAATGCAGTTGGGAAAATTTCAACATGGTCCTGGATCATAGCGTTGGCAAAAATGAGCCAACTCGTCGGATTGACTCGTAATCTGTTAAAAATGAGTTGAGTTGGGTTAGTAAAAATGAGCTGTCAACTCGAGTCAACCGAACCCGAGCTAGCTCGAGAAAAAATGAGCCAACCCACGAATTGAGTTTTTTTTTTATTAATAAAAATACAAAATATAACATAAAAAAGGACAAATTCCACACATTGTCATCGTCTTTCTTCCTTCTCTAAACCTAAGTCCCTAATCTTTTCACATCGTTGCTATTTTTGTTCGGTCTCTCACTCAGAAATCGAGATGCAGCCGCCAGCCACCACCATCCGCGCTCCGTCAACCCCTGGCTTCATCGCCTTAGCTACTCAGTCTTGGCCTCAGTTCCTGCATTGAAAGCTTCTTGTATTCTCGGTTTTTTGCAACACCAATACATCAGGTTTGTATTTTTTTTAGGAAGCCATATAGCTGGTGCATTAATACTATAGGTTCATTTAAATAGGCTAAAAATGAGCCAACCCTAACTCGACTCGGCTTGGGTTTGGTTATATTTTCTGGCTCATTTTTTTTTTCCCGAACCAACCCTAACCCGGTTCATTTTTTTCGGGTTGCACGCGAGTTGAGCCGGGTCGAATCGGCGGACCATATAATATTTTTGTGTTCCCTCTCTCGTAACTTTCCTATTTTACCCTTTTTTTTTATCTATTTTCCCATTTTACTTCCCTATTTAACTAAGGGAGCATGTGCTCCGGTACCACACAATTAACGCTCATTTGAAAGGGCTTCAGCTTCAAATGAATTACCAAACCTGCCAAAAAAAAGAAAAAAAAAAACCTGTATTAGAAATTAAATTAATAGCATTGTGGGTTCTAAATGAAAATTTTGAGGCCATAAGCATGTTTTTCCTCCAAAGTCCAAATTATTCCAGCGTTCAATGTACAATGCGTGACAAGTTAGACAGCTAGCTTAGTGGTGACTTTAGAGTAACTGATGAAGGAAAAGACAATATATATTTGTTATTTTTTTTGTAGCTGGGATTCTTCTACTCTTGTTAGCATAACATATAGCTATTGGTCTTAGTTTCATATGTATATACTAATATAATGAAAGAAACACAATTTGCGACGGGACCATCATAATTGCGAAGTATGATTAATTCAACATGATTTGACACTTCTAAAGTCTTCACTTTTGTTTTTTGATGAGATATAAATTTGACTAAAGTTTATAGGAAGTTGGTTAAATTTACTTCTAATGAATAATCATGATATATAATTCCCTTTCTCTGAAATATGTACAAGCTAGTGAACACAGCCATCTAAATTTAAACAGTTTTTTTTTTTTTTTTTTTTAAATTTTGTTTTAATGAACACATGTGAAAACATTAATTTGCAATTGATGAAGCACAATTAAGTTATACATAAAAAATGTTCAAGTTACGTACGTGGTCCTTTGATACGTTTTGCAAATTACAATAACTTCGACAGACCTAATTACGTTAGCTAGAATAAATTACAGTAGCTTAACTAATATCATAACATAACATTTCTTCAAATGCAATGTTTTTGACATCTTTTATAACCAGAAATGATAAAGTAGGCATTAGTTTGCCTCAATGAGGGGTTATAGTGGTATTAATAAAGGATTATCAATACGAATTGAACTTAAAACCTTTGTATAGATGCAATTTGATCTTACCAATTGAGCCAACTACGTGATAGACATTAATATTTTAATAAAGAGAAGATTATATTTACAAACTACACTATGTCTTACCGGTCATACACTAAACAAGAGTGTATGACTAGTCATACTTAATGTAATTCGTTAAAAAAGTTTGTAAACGGATCATTCCCCTTCTAATAATACTAATTTATGGCATAAAGAGAAGGGGTTGGAAAAGAAGACAAGATCCACACACATAGATGCTATTTAATTTGATTAATATATATAAAGTCCATTCATGAAGATGCTCTATTGGCACTTGGAAGGCGCTTCCTTGATTTACAAGTAGGAAATTTTATATAACCCCATCACTCTCTAATTATGATTTAGAGCTTTGTCAAACTTATTTAATATTAGAAACTACATGATTTCCAGTTAAGATAAGATCATGGATGAAGTTGCCTAGAAACACATTGGCACGCAGATAAGCACACCCACAGAGAGGGAGAGAGAGAGAGAGAGAGAGAGAGAGAGAGAGGGGTATATACCCTACATGTGGGAATGGTTTGTGGACAAAGCAAAAGAAAGCATAGTGCGTGCAAACAATTCACATGGGTGCATAACATGATCCTTTACAAGAAGACCTGTTTGGTGTGACGTATAAGACATGATAGTATAAGGCCTGTTTGGTGTGACGTATAAGGCATGATAGTATAAGCTTATACTATACGTTATGACATTTTCAGTTGTTTGGGGTGACCATCGTATAGTATAAGCTTATACAGCATAATCTCTTAATACATCAAAATGATGTATAACTTAATCCGGCCTAAGGGTGAGGGATAAGGCCTGATAAGAGATTGATGTATTAACATCGTTGACCAATATAATTCTCAAAAATTAATATATTATTTTAATATTAATATATTAAAATAAAAATTAAATTTTCAATATATTAATTTTTAAAATATTGAATATTTTTATTTTTATAAAAATTAATTTATATTTTGGACACACTAATCAATAAATTTTTTATAAAAATTAATATCATATGACATTTCACAGCTCATGTCCTAAATTCCACTAGTTCTCAAATTGTCTACTTATCTTAATTACTTCACCTAGGATTTTTTTATTTTTATTTTTTTTGTTATTAAACAACTGTCCCAATTATGAAACACCTCGCACCCCATGCATAATTACATCTTTTAAAAAAATCTTAAGCACATGACCTTTGTTCTTCTCTCATAAAAATATTAAAACCCATATGATTTCACCGGGAGTCTCATATTAAAAAAATATGATATGATTATGTGGGCAATTATAACCATATAAAGGTGGATCAATGATGATAAAAGAAAAAAATATATATTAAAATAAGTAGTTACTAAATCATAATTGTTAATTTACCTTTGTATGATATGAATGTCCAATATGTTGATATCATTTTTTTACCATTTTCGACCCTCAAGTGGGTATTTTTTTTGGGCACACCCCTCAAGTGGGTTGTCATACCTAGTCCTAGAGACATTAATTCTTTAAAATTATAAATAGAACGTCGACACCATTCATTCAAATCAATCACCTAATTTTGTTTTCATCTTTAATTTACTTAGGCTCATTCTTTCCTCTTCGAACATATCTAAATTGGTTATTGATGAAGAGTTTGACTCTTTTTTTCTTCCCCAAACTCCCGCCATTTTACATGTCTAATTATTGCAAGAGAAATTTTTTGACCAAACAACTTAACTAGTTAATGAAACTAATTCTTCTGGAATGGTTAACTAACTGAACATGTTAATCCGCAATGCACCAAAGAAACAATAAGAAAAAAGAACTTGTTAATCTTGTTGTGTAAGAATGGTTAAAATTAGGATAGTGTAGATAGACAAAGGTAAAGTTAAAAAATAATGAGACTATTATTATAAGGGCATACCCCTAAAAAGAAGGTCACAAGGGCACGTGGTGGCTGATTCCCACTAGTTATTATTATTATTATTAAACCAGTGGCGACTTTCCAGTAATGCCGTTGAGTTGAGGAGAACCAACTCTTTCTTCTCCCAGCTGTTCATAGCTGTCCAATCTCTCTCTTCCATGTGACCCCACTGCACAAACACATATATGCAGATACCCCAGAGATTTATTGGGATTTTAAACCCCAAAAAACAAAAGATTATGATATCTAATAATAAAATAAATGAAAAAGATAAAGTTTATGATTATATAATTTATGATGTAGTTGTTGTTGTTGCTTTCTTCCCTCTAACATTCCCTGTGGTATCTGAATATATATATATGTGTATTTATATAAAGGCTATGTTAGGAGGTTCATTTGGTTTAATTGTCTAGGTGATGCATTCATTTCTTCCCTCATATGTGGTTTCTTTGCTTTGGTTTTTGAAGTGAATATATATACACACATTGTTATTATTACATATGCAAAGATAACATTAGTCTTGTGTTTGCTTATTGTTCTCTTCTTCTTCTATCTTCTCGTGAGTGTGTGTGAGAGAGACTTAAAATGGCACAATTGCCACCTAAGATTCCAAACATGACACCCAATTGGCCTGAATTTTCTTCTCATCAGAAGATACCTTCCCTCACAAGCATGTCACCAAATGGTGTAACCAACACAAATATATCAAACAACCACCACCATCATCACCGTCACCATCAAAACCCTTCATGGGTGGATGAGTTTCTCGACTTCTCGTCGGCAAGACGCGGGTCCCACCGACGGTCGGCTAGTGACTCCATCACCTTCATGGAGGCACCAATGCTCAAGGGTGGGGTTGACAGGTGCGAGTTTGATAGGTTTGATGATGAACAATTCATGTCCATGTTCAGTGACGAGGTTTCAGGGAAAGCCATGATGCCACCATCATTGTCCTCTTCCTCCAACCCTTCAAGCCCTTCTGATCATAACAGCGGCATCAACGATGAGAAAGAAATGAACCGTGAAAAGGAGGAAGATGAGAAGCAAGAGGAGCAACAATTGAAGAATGAAGCATATTTGGATCAAAGCCAATGCAAACAGGAAATCACAGAAGCTCTGAATGATGATGATGATGATGATGATAATAGTAATAACAATGCAAACACAACAACTTGTTCCAATGACAAAATTACTGACCCCAAGAGGGTCAAAAGGTAATCCAACATTCTTGGTAAACTTGCATTGATCCGTATGACATGAAATTTTGATTATACCAAGTTTCATGTACACACACATATATATATGTGTGTGTGTGTCTGTATTTCATGGCTTCTTCTTTATTTCAATATTATTTAAGAGTGAGCATTTAGTGTTAGTAAATTATTCTTAAGGAGAACATGTTCTTCACAATATATCAGAAATTTTTATTTTTTTTCTTTAATGTGATTCTAATTCTCGTTCTGCATCAGAATCTTGGCAAATAGACAATCTGCACAAAGATCTAGAGTGAGGAAGCTGCAATACATATCAGAGCTTGAGCGAAGTGTAACTTCATTACAGGTTCGTTAGGTGATTCTAATTAATTTTTCTGATGCTCATGTTGGTAACTTTTATGTAATGCATATAATTTGATCAATGAAGTGTAGTAATAATATGAATTTTTTTTTTTTTTTCTGTTACTATTTTGTTGATCAATGAAGGCCGAAGTTTCAATACTGTCTCCACGGGTTGCATTTTTGGATCATCATCGCTTGCTTCTAAATGTTGACAACAGTGCTCTCAAGCAAAGAATCGCTGCCCTGGCACAAGACAAGATCTTCAAAGATGGTACTTGATTTACCTATTATCTGTTTCTGAACTATATTATCTGCATTGATTGTTCTTATGTAAGAAGCTAATTTTATTACTTATTGATTCTGTTAATGGTGAAACAATTAAGTTCAAATAAGAGATAATGTTTCAAGGCTTTAAATACTATAAGAACCTTTTAGTGAGATGTACAAGTTTTCTGAAATTATTATTACTAACAGTTATTTTTGTATATTCTTAAAGTGAAAGAGTATGCTACTTGCTACAGGATTATTATTATTTTTTTTTAAATGTGAAATTAATCTGAGTTTTACATATCTAATTTTAAGGGAAAACCAAACTAGCTCTAAGTATGAAGTAATTAAAAGAACTCAAATATGACTAAATCTGAAATCTTTTATCTCAGTCAATTCCAGAGACTACAAATGTACATGCTAAATATATAAACCATATGTGGTTAATTTTGTAGTTCTAGACTTTTAATGTTATGTTCACGAGAAAATTTAGATTAAAAGAAAGCACAATTTTGTTTAAATATATATAATCTGTACTTTTCAATTCAATTACATCACTAAGCTTGCAATTAAGTCCTTGAAGTTGATATATAAAGCCTTGTGGAGGAGGTTTAAACAAGACTAAATATTAACCAAACTGGAACAAAGGATATGAATAAAATGGCACTTTTATTGGCTTTTTTCTCGTGCAAGCATGCATACAATATAATTTCATTGCTTTAGAAGGGAGAAACAGGCCAATTATTAAACTGGACACACTTATATTAAGTAAAAGGCATTTGCATGCACAAATATTTAAATCTCTGAGTCAGATCATGTGCCCTGTCTTCAAGTAGTTAAGAGTGCTAACAAAAGCTTCAAGTAATGTTATCACATGTATATGCATGCAGCACATCAAGAAGCACTGAAGAGGGAGATAGAGAGACTGAGGCAAGTGTATCACCAACAAAACATCAAGAAGATGGACAGTGCTGTAGGGTCACCATCCCCATCACCAAAAGCAAGATGTGATACTCATTCTGAAAAGGAACATCTTATCAATGTTTGAACCCTCCCTAGAAGACTCACTCACCCTAGAGACTATATGATCAAATTGCTAGCTAGTTAGTCTTACATGATCAAGGCAAAGAAGGGTAACAAAAAAAAAAGGCAAAAAAAATTTAGTCAGTGACACTGCTTGTGAAGTATTGAATGGCATCAAGTACTGTTTGATAGTGAGAAGGTGAGAATTTTTATTAGCCAATTGATGAAAGATACGTGGCAATGAGAAGAGTCACAAAATGGGGTGGTGAGGCCAAATTGGTGGTAGGATTTTGCTATCAAACTGCAGTAGTCACGTGATGTGTTTTACTTTAAAGAAGGGGACCACTCAAAGTTGCATGATTGGAATGCAGGGAAACACATGTGCACCAGTGACATTAAAGAGAGGGTGGAGGAAAGAAACAGTTGTGTCTGCTTTAACTAGACTGGGGTGGGAAGTGTATGTTGGAGATTCTTTCAAGTTCTTTTTCTTTTATATTTGTTTGTTGTCTTTGATTCTTTCCAATTTTTGTTTTTTTGTTTTCTTTTTTTTGGGTGGTGTTTTTCAATTCAAGTTGGAAAACAAAGACTAGTGGGCTTGTGTTGGGATGGATGAAAGGAAGGAATGTCAGTAAAGTCTTGGCTCCTTTGGGTTTTGTTGCACTTTATATTACTGTTTTCCATGAATGTAATTATCTTTATTTGACATATTAATTGGGAAAAAAAAATATCAAAGTGTAAATATTCGTTGACTCAATTGTAGTTGTATATGGTGCAAGTCTTATCTGTTGCACGAATTTTTATGTGTTATGGACTAGACACAGAATTTATAACAAGAGTTATTTTTTTTTTTAAGCCAAAAAAGTGGGATTTCAGAAAATAAAAAATGTTAACTAATTAAAATCTATCATACCATTGTCAAGAAGGTGACGTGGCACAAGTGACTAAAGAGTCGGTTCATACCTCAAAAAGGCGTGGGTTCGACTTCCTCTTGCCGCTTTAAAGACCCTTGTTGATGGGTAAACTGTAAAGCGGATTTAGTTTATCGCTGTCTTTAGCGTAAATTCTCATAGAAGTTGAACAAGTCTGCTCTGACATTGACGGATTACATATCAGTGTCTCCCTGCCAGAATGTTCTTGTACTAAAAAAAAAAAATCTATCATACGATTAGTTGAGTTTAATTATAAGTTGATTTGAGCAATCTGAGATTATTTGAACTAGGATTCCCTCGTAGGTACGGCAAAGCAATATATAGCATCCGTATATCATACATGGGACTTGACCAGGAGTTTGAATATAATTGTACTTAGTCTTCCAATCCCTTGAAGGAGATTTGATACGTATTTATGAGGAATTGACATTGAACTTTGTTTTTTTATTTTACGTGATTTGCTGTCATGTTATTTACTAATAAAAAGAGTATCATTCAACCAATTAGTCGATTAATCGAAAAATAAAAAATAAAATAAAATAAGAAGAACAGTAGTTTTTTTTTTCTTTCATATTTCACTGTTATCTGATTTTGATATTTAGATTAGTATCTTTGATACAACGCTTACATTTAGTGTGTATTTAGGTTCGTTTACTTTGCATTGAAAATTATTTATTATCAAAATCTTATTAAGAGAATTCAATTAAAAAAGAAGAAGAAGAAGCATTTTTCCCTAATCATTCAGCAAATCCAACATGCTACTACTCTTCAGCCTTCAATGAAGATGAAAATTGACAAATGAGAAGTATTTATAAAACAAGAGAGGATGCTTTTGTCATTTCTGAAATCGTAGATATACATGAAGAATAATTCGTTTATAAATTTTTGCAAACTACACTATGTACTCCCGGAAGTACACTAGGTATAACTTAGTATATTTTCGAGAGTACATAATGTAGTTTATAAGAGTTTGTAAGCAAAAAATTTGTAAATATAACTCTTTATATATATATATATATATATATCGAGTTTTATTATAATTTTAGTGATATGTTATACAAATTTCTGAAGGTAATTGTAGATTGACAATACATGCCAGTGAAACAGTGATGTCATAATCCTAAGAATTGGTCCCAATGCACGTGGAAGAAGATGGATCGTCCTATGCAGTCTGGATGCATCAGAACAAGGTTGTGTGGTCAATTTTACTCACATACCGCAATCCTCGATCTATTTATTTTAGCATAAAATAAAAGGAAAAATGATGGGAGTACCCTTAATAACAAGAATATCCGAACACAATAATACTTATGAGAATATTTTAATTAAAATAATAAAAAATGTAGAAGAAAAAAGATCCTGACACAAATTATATGATTTGTTAATTTAGGTGATTAAAAAAGTTATAGTAAAAGGGAAACATCATTTAATAGTATGAGAGTTGTAAATTTCAAAGTATCATTACAAAGTGTAAAGACCAACAGCACCGCTAGAGTTCTAGCAAAGGGAATAGTTTGAGACTTTAGATAATCACGCTGTCTTTATTGAGCTGATGTCAAAATGACAAATAATTTTCTTAGTTTTAATTATTATATTCATCTTTCTTACCCTGCCTGTGGAATTAGAAAATATAGAAAGAAGGAAAATGATACAAGACAACAATGCAAAGGTTTTAGTATTATTCTCTCTTGGATGAAGAGAGAATAGGGGGAGGAAAGGGGGGAAAATGGTAGCGAGGTACAATAAAAAAATTTCTTCTTGAGAAGAAAAAAGAAACTAAGTTTAAAACTACAAACTTATCCAAAAATAAAAATACTTGCATCTATTATATTATGATAAGGGTATAATAAATCTTTTATATAATTACATTTTCTTTCCTCACTATTCTTTTTGTGTTTGCCATCCAAAATATGAATGACCGGGTACTTGTAACCTGTGAAGCTTCTATGTGGTTTTTCTTGTGTATGTAACATTTTCAAATGAAAATTAAGAGCAAGGTTTAGATCTTTGGCGGTAGGAAGGGCATTGTAAGTTCCACATAGTTGTAACGTGTAGAGGGTAAATAAAGGAGTGCCCAGGTTTGCACCATTAGTTGACAAGAAGGCCAAAGGGTTATTGGATTTGTTGCAAGATCTAAGAGTACCTAAGACTTTTCCAGCCCCATTTTCTTGTAGTTGCGCATGCTTGTATAATTGTACTCTAAATCCCTGGCTTGTTTAAGTAATATTATTAATATAATCAATGCTTTTCACAGAAAGTATATACTGGCAAAAATCTCAGTCATAAATGAATAATAACTATATATTATTATTTTTCATACAATAAACAACTAAATTTGATAATGCAATAATCACATCCAAACGATGACAGTGAAACTAATACAAATAGATTCAGTTGCCAGCAGATCACAAACTCAGTGAGCAACATGGTTCATGCAACACGATACTTCCATGCATCAAAGAAAGTGCATACATTTTCTAAGCAGTAATATACATGTCAACAAATGCCCAAGACTTTCCTCTTGTAGCACTCAGTCACGTGACTCCAACCATATCATTACCAGAACCTAACTAGGTTACCCCTTCGTTAAAGTAAAACCGAGTAACTACAATTCAGATGATACACGCCATTGGCCACCGTTAGTAAAAATGTGGGCTTTTGAGTTTTGATCGGTATATACACAGCCACACAGGAGGCTAAACTTTTCACCAACTTTAGAATATGATGCAATCTTGCTAAATTTAAGGTGAAAATTTTTTACACGAGAAGGCCTTGAAGGAAATAGGGTTGATATTAAGTGTATCTAATGAATTTATTTTGAAGTTAAACATCTCTAAATTTGCCAAGAAGCCCGTGACAGCAGATCAGATTTCTTTTCGTTTAGTTGAAGAAAAGGAGTAGTAGTTGATAAGAAAAGGTCAAAAACCAAGAAAAGACAGTTTTCTTAAGAAACAATCATAACCAACTCCAACAGTTCCTCTATCGATCTTAAAAAGTTAGAACCACATAAGACCAAAGTGAAGGAAATTGGAAAAATACTAGGATGTTTCATACAACAATGTGGCATTCTAGCCCATTTGGCTATATATGATTATGATAATAACCTTCTGTAAGGAATCTAGTATCCAGAATTTGAGGATAGAAGAAATTGAAAGGAAACTCTGTATTAATTGATTAAAAACTAGCATGGGTGAAAGTTTATAATGGATAACAGTGACAGTGAAAGCAAACAATCTGAGAAGCCCTGAACTCATATAAGGAAAAAAGATAACCAGGACTATTATAGAGCCCCTGAACTCTCCCATGCAAATGCCCAAATTCCAGAATGATTGTCAATCGTATATTTCCCCACTTAATATAAACCTACACTCACGATGCTAACCTCATACACACATCTGCACCCAATTCAACAGAAAGAGAATATCCTAGCCAACTTTGCTGAGTAAGCAATCAGGTAGTTTGTGATTCCCTGCTCCTCCTTCTACAGTACTCCTTAATATCAATTGGGGTCCTAACACATTTAAATAAACTAGCAGTGCACCATATCAAATCGTCCAGTATAACAGTAATTAATCATGCAAAACATCCCAAATGAATTTCCTTAGTTAGTATTTCCATCTCATTACATTCATCCAATAAGATATTCACTTGGTCAAGAATAGATGAGATATCAACTGGAACAAGGCTCAACTATTTCCATGTCAAACAACAGAGCTTAGGTTGGAAGATTAGAATAAATAATAGCGTAGTGATGCAAAACACAAAAAACAAAAATTACCATACTTTGTGACTTGATCTGAAACACTTAGTTTTAAGATCTCAGGTTCAAAATAAAATTCTGTACATTATAATCATAAACAACCTGCTGCCTTGAACTTAGTGTTAACTGATTTTAATCATGTGACAAGGAAATTACTAAACCTTACTAAGCAGTTTTTCCTTCACTTGTTGGAGTACATTCAGCAGGACCAGAAACCTTGCGTTTAGCATTCACTTCATTCAAATGTTTTACTTGGTCCTCAAACGCCAGCAACCTGTTACCCAGGGATTCAACTCTACTCAGATGACCTTCCAGTTTACCAAACCAAGCACCTTCAATATCTCTGGACTTCTTTTCAAAATCACTCAAAAATTCTCTCAACTTTGCCCTTTCTTCTTCTTCCTTCTTCAGACGTTCCTTTTCCAGTTCCATCACACTCAGAACAAGGCCCCCAGACCCAGGAACATCCTTGTAAAGTGGTTCATCAGCTTGCGGACAACGTGCTCTGTATTCAGCAAAAGCCTTCTGTGTTTCTTTCAAGGCCTTTCTGTAGCCGTCCACAAGACTGGTCATCATAAAAAGTTCCTTCTCAAACCGATATACCTCCACCTCTCTCTTGTGACCATCTTCCATCTTTGCTTTATGAAAGTGCTCAATCACATTATCTCGCTTCTGTAGCTCATTAAGAAAGAGTTGCTGATTCATTCTAGATTCTTCACAAGCCTGATCTTTTGCTGCATACATCATTCTAGCTTTCTCCATCCAGTGTTCTATCTGTTCCATGCACATTTCAAAGTCGACTGGCTTAGAATTCCATGGGCTTTCACTTCTTACCCGCTTGTTACTGCCATTTAAAGAATTATCCAGGCCATGGTCTCTCTTGTGACCATTACCAAAAAGTGACGATCCAGAAATCATCTGAGCATCATCTCTAGAAGAGAGAAAATCTCCTACTGAGTTGTCGCGAAGATCAATCCCAGAACTAAAAGGCATCTGCGCTGCTTCCATTGCTTGAATGAGACTCCCAGTCCCAGAAGGCATCCCCTCCAAAGGAATACACTTAGGCGACAGATGGAACCCACCCTCGTGCTCATCTTCTTCTGCATCTTCATCTTCATCCTCTTGTTCTTCCCCTTCTTCTCCCTCATCCTCTTTCAGTTGGCCACAGTCCATACCCTTCACATCAATAGAATGACATGCCCTCAAAAAGGGCTCCCCCACACTGTTCTTCTGATCCAAAAGCCACATCCCAGGTTCTTCTTCCTTAGTCTGCTCAAAATCCATCATCTGTTCCCCTCCATGATCCTTTTCCACCTCAACTCTCTCAACATTATCTTGCCCCAGACTCAATTCAATGTTGTGCTCCTCCAACTCAAGAACTCTACTCTCATCAACCCCACCCATTCTCACGTCACCATTCCCATCCACCTTGTCGCCCACCCCCTCTTCATCTTCCTCTTCCTCCTCCTCCTCATCATCTAGTTCCTCATCCTTCACCTCAACCCCATCTCCCTCTTCCTTCATCTCAACCTCATCTCCCTCATCCTTCACCTCAGCCTCATTCTTCAACTCAACCCCATCTACCCCATCCTTCACCTCAGCCTCATCTCCCTCATGCTTCACCTCAGCATCTTCTCCCTCATCCTTCACCTCAGCCTCTTCTCCCTCATGCTTCACCTCAGCATCTTCTCCCTCATCCTTAACCTCAGCATCTTCTCCCTCATCCTTAACCTCAGCATCTTCTCCCTCATCCTTCACCTCAGCCTCTTCTCCCTCATCCTTCACCTCAGTTTCTTCTCCCTCATCCTTCACCTCAGTTTCTTCTCCCTCATCCTTCACCTCGTCCCCTTCCTCCACCTCAACCTTCTGCGCCTCCTCCAGCAACTCCCTGTGCTGCGTCTTAATCATACACTGCAATTGCGAGGCGTAATAACAGTTCACCAGCTGGGGGGTCTTCAATTCCTTCTCCAACATGTTCCATATCAACCCCGCCCAATCAACCTTCTCCAAATGCCCCTCCTTGATCAAATTCAAATAGCCCAAAACCTCATTCGGCATGATATACGTATCATCATGCAATAGCATCCAATTCGACACCAATTCTGAAACGAAAGCAACAGATTCCCCCAAACCCAGTTCCTCCTCCCCAGCTTCCCCAATCAACACCACGGCGGGCACCTTCTTCACCGGCAACTTGAGAGCGCGTCCGAGGTCAGCACGGTTCACATTGATCCTAACCCCATTGACATAACTGCAGCGCGAGGAGGGGACGTAGCTGGCGATGAGCTGTGCGAGGAGATCGCCACGAATGGAGGAATCAAACTCCACGTGGACGAAATCCCAGAGCCCAAGACGCTGCAAGAGGCTCTTATGGCTCTCAAAGTCGAGAGCTTTAGCAGGTACAAAGGGAATGGGTTTTAGGGTTTCGACAAGAACCTGAAGCTTCTCGCGTGACTTCCTCTCCTGCGCGAATCGCTTCGCCCCCATTTTCTTCCGCTTCGGCCCACGGCGAACAGCGGCGGAGGCAGTGGTAGCATCGGGCTCCGGGTCATCGACGTGTTGAATCTCGATCGGATCTTCCATGAGGGTATCTTCGCCTTCGTTAGGGTATGCGGAATCGGGATCGGAATCAGGGACTGTTAGGGTTTTGGGGGATTGAGGATTAGAGTGTAGGGTTGGTGGTGGAGCTTCTTGTTCTTGGCATTGTTGTTGATGTTCGGTGGTGTTAGGGTTTAGGGTTTCGTTGGGAATCTGAGGAATTGGGTTGGTCATGGCGTTTATGAGAGAAAGTGAAAAGAGAGAAAGTGAGAATGAGAGACTGATCTTTCAAAGGGTGTGAGTGATTTGAGAGAAAATTGAAGTAATCGTGGCTCAGCTTTCTTATTAGTTACTGAGAATGGACAAAAAATGAAGGTCCTTTCTTATAAAATAAAAAGAAGAAGAAGAAGAAGTTAAAACGTCCATTTTCTAGTACTAAAAAAAACAAATAAATAAAGGAAAAGTTCTTTATTTGCTTCAGAATCATTTATAAAATAAAAAATTATAAAATAAAAAATTATAAAACATATACTTACTACCAAAAAAATTTATTACTTTTACAACTAACCTAATCACCGTTCATTTCTGTAAATCTAACAGTTATTATTTATTGGAAATTATTGGATCATATTTATTAATTAATTATTAATTTCCAAAATATGATAACCGTTAGATTAACGGAAATCAACGGTGATTAGATTAGTTGTAAATGTAGTAAACTTTTTTGATTGTGAGTATATCCTTTTCCTAAAAAAATATACCCTTTTGCAAACTATACGGATATATGTGATAAAAAAATCATAAAAATATAGATGATTCTGAAGTAAATCATAGGACATTGGTGAACTTTTTACAATAAATAAAGAGATAAGATATCGCTACTACCAATTAGTGTTATTTATAATGTCATTACCATTTTGTTTTATCATTAGATCGATTATGTTAATTCAACGTTTATAATTTAACTTTTTAAAAATATTCTTTTCTCTCCTCGTATTTAATATTTTATATTTATTTTCACCTTTATATAATTATAATTCCTCATATTTAATTTTTTTACATTAAATATGAGGAATCATAACTATAGTCTTTATAAAGGTGAAAATAAATATAATCGTTGAATCAACATAATCGATGTAATGGTGAAATAGAGTGATAGGGACATTATAGTAACACAAATTGATAATAACAATATCATTTCTCATAAATAAATTCTATTTTCTTCGCTTTGACTCTATTTTTATTTTCCTTTTTAATGAAATTGTGTTTCTAATCATTAAAATTATATATGATTTGATTTAAAAATCAATTATGATATTTATTATTTAATACCCATTGTAAATAATAATAATTTTTTTAGATATCTAAAAAATAAAGATTTAAATAATATGTTAATCGAATTTTATATTTTAAAAATTCATTTTGTTTCAATAATTTTACTTTGAAACCCTTGTAATCATAGCATGTGATACTTAACATTATATGTTATCATGTCATGTAAGAGGATCATAATGATATAAAAATGAATCAATAATAATAAGAAAAAATATTATAATAAAGAACGGGGAAGGATATTACAACAACCAATTAGTGTTATTACTAATGTTACTACAAATCAATTTTACCGTTAGATATATTATGTTGATCGAACGGTTATATTTATTTTCATCTTTGTATGGTTATGATTCCTTATATTTAATATTTTATATTTATTTCTACCTTTGTATGGTTATGATTTTTCATATTTAATGCTTTCACATTAAATATGAGGAATCATAATTATATAAAGATGAAAATAAATATAACCGTTAGATCAACATAATCGATCTAAAATTGATTGGTAATAATATTTGTAGTAATACTAATTAGTTGTTATAATATCTTATCCCATAAAGAAGATACAAATTATTATGTTAATTTATTTATTGATAGTTAAGATCCTCTTAAATAATATGATTATCTAGAATAACACAAGATAATTCCCTTCTTATATATAGTTTTAAAAATATTACATAGAATTGAGTGACACACATTATGACTCTGATGGTTTTATGTAATTTTTTTTTTTTTTTTTTGTGAAAACTGATCTTAATTATCTCTTTGAGGCGAATCAGAACTTCTCTGTATCCCCACGGGTTCAACTCTTTGAGCCGCCTATGGGACTAATCCAGAGTTTGGGTGCGAGTCCAAGGATTACGGTACATAAGTACCGTAATCCTTGGATTATGTACCGTAATCCTTGGACTCGCACCCGAACTCTGAATTAGTCTCATAGACGACTCAAAGAGTCGAACCCGTAAGGATATCGAGAGTTCTGATTCGCCTCAAAGAAATAATTAGGATCAGTTTTCAAATATATATAGAACCATAAGAGTCATAATGTGTGTCACTCAATTCGATGAACGTTAAAAATATCTTTATTATATAATAATGTCAAAAAATACTCTTGGTAAACAAATCATAAAATATTAAATGAAACATGAGAAATATCCCTAATTAAAAAAAATGTGCATGACATAAACATGATATTGTTAACAAAATTGAAACAACTTGGTTAAAGTATATATAAAAATGATTGTATATGTAAATTATTTTTAAATAACAATTATATGTTCAAAATAATTATATAAAACTAAAAAAATTTGGGTTAAATATTTCTCAAAATAATAATAATTAAACTCAAAACAAATATATTATAAATGAATAAGGGAAAAGTAATAAAGAAATTAATCAATGGGGTTGAGTTTCAAAATTAAATTCAAACTTTCAATATCATGTCATTAAATTAAAATATGCTGTTAAAGTAAATTAAAAATGAAATTTAACAAATATGAGATAACATTATGTCTTGAAGCAAAAATCACGTCATCAACATAAATTTTAAGTGATTTAATAATTAAAAGAGAATATCATGGCGTTAAGTCAAAATCATGCTATTAGTATTGTTAACAGCATGAGAATAATGAAAAGAAACAAGCTATTTGAATTTTTTGAAAAATAATAATTAAGAATGACATGTTATTTTTTGAGAAAATTAAAATTTAGAGTGACACTTCGTATGATATTTTTTGATATTTTATTGATAATTTAGTGTTATGTTTATAATTGTTTTTAATATTTTATTCGGATATGTTAATCTACATTAAATTGTTTGTGAAGAAAAATCTAATCCTTAAAATTGAATTCTTATTTTATATTCAAGTTTATTATTTTTATTATATTATTTAAGTGAGTTAATCCCTCAATTTATTAATCGATCATAAGTGAAACTGGGGCATGTTTAATGATGTCCATAGAAAGATCCATGGAACTGCTTAGGGTAACATGTGAAGGAGTAAAAAGAAATGGAGGCCTTGGCATTAAACATGTTTGTCAATTCAATCAAGCTTCCATAATGAAACTGGGGCATGGTGTACTCATCCAACCGAATGCTTTATGGGTTAGAGTCTTGAAAAATAAGTATCATGTGGGAGAGGAGTTGATACCTCGATCAGCCCCCTCTAAGGAAATCAGCATCCTTTCTCTGTAGAGGAGTTCTTAGCTCATGGCAGATAATCAAAAACAACTATCGGATACAAGTTGAGAATGTGACCATCACCAACTTCTGGCTTGACAAGTGGGTCCCCAGCAGTGGAACCCTAGCATCACAAGCCATTGCGGACCTGCATGTGGACCTCCATAACTGGACATTTAGCAACTTTATTACCCGAGAGTCGCTAGGATGCGAACTGTATCAGGGCTTTTCTGCCGAGGGAAGCTTGTGAGAAGATTGCTAATGTCCTTCCACCATCGATCCTGAGTGGGGATGATAGACCAATATGGACCTTTTCGAAAGAATACTTATTCAGCACTAAATGCCTAGGAAAATGGCCCACAACCTAATAACCTCAACCATGTGCCCCAAACGCCACACGTAGGATGAAACTTGCACCCACTTGCTGAGAGACTGTGCTTGGAGTAAAGGAATTTGAGCAAGGTTGAGTCAAGGGTCATTACTGTTGAGATATATAGTCCCACATTAATTGGATGGGCAACTAATATAGTCTTTATAAGACCTTGGACATTCCCACTCCTTGAGCTAGCTTTTGGGGTGGTGTATCCCAAGGTTCTTTACATGGTATCAGAGCCTCACCGTCCCCCGCTTTAAAAAGTGAAATTAAAATAAAAAAAACCATAAAAAGGTAAACCAAAAATGAGTCTGTGCAATTTCCACCCTTCTAGCCTAAAGGGCTCTTGCGTGAGGGGGCGTGTTGAGATATATAGTCCCACATTGATTGGATGAGCAACTAATATAGCCTTTATAAGACCTTGGACACTCCCACCCCTTGAGCTAGCTTTTGGGGTGGTGTATCCCAAGGTTCTTTACAACTACAACACTCATTTTTTAATCAAACGATCTAGGAATTGATGATTGGAAACCTAAGGCATCAAACTAGGACAGACTAGCACTCATTTTGCTACCTCACGCTTGGGGTTTGTTATGGACCTGAGTAGGGCCCATATTCATAAAAGGCCCAGACGACATAAGCCCAAAGGTAAACTCTAAAAATAGGAGCTAAAGACCACAGGTATGACTGATCTTTCTCAACCCTATTTTATGCAATCACATAGCACACCCACCCACCCTTTCTTGGCTAAGGCAGTATATTTGAGTCGTGATTCGCTGCCCCTAAGATACATAATTCATAGGTATCTAGAGAAAGTATTAGATCCAACATTAACCAGCTAGCCTTTGGCTAGACATCTCTTCCGCAGGCAGAACATTGGCGCCGTCTATGGGGATCGAACCTTTTCTGCGACCACGTGGTTAAGAACCAGCGGTTAAAATGGCGCAGACAACCAGAAGCGGATATCGGCAACCATCAAGGTCGAATCCCAGACATCAACCAATTCCCCCAATCAGGGAGGATCCATCAGGACAACATGTCCCCCATGACCAATAGCAGGTAGACACCAACGCTGTTCATATCAGTGAAGCGCACTCCGATTCGGCATCAACTCCAGCGGTTAACCTTAATGCCCTATACGTGGAGGGGTTACAGCCGATTGAAGGGCAGGTTGCAAACACTGGGCAAGTGCTAAATGCTACGAACAATGATTAGCAGGTGACAGATCTGGCTGTTGTTGCGGTACTCCACAGAATGGAAGAGATGGAAAGAAGGAATGAGCTCCAAAGGCAAGAAGATGCCAAGCAAATCCGAGAATTGGAGACTCGGTTATGGCGGGCTACCAACCCAGATCCCGCACGAGCTATAACGCAAGTCATGACTGACTTGAGGATCACGAACCCTCATCAAAACAATAATGACCGAGGGGGGACCTGGG